CATCGACAGTGTTTTAGCGACGTCTTCGGTTTTACCGTCGACATTGAACGATATATTTCTGGTAAAATATATGGTAGCCTGCTTAAATTAGAAATCTCGCCAGATGAAAAAAACTATTATCATTATCGAGTATCCAGACAGAGAAAGTCGTAGAAGTCATTACGTTAGTTTTGAGGCAAAAAGAAACAATATGCTTTTAATTTGAATTTCTACTATCTTTTTCAGTTTTTTTTTTAATTATTTTCTAACCTTGCATATTCGTAGTCATTGGTTTCGGAAGCCAATGTATCGCATCAAATAAGTTGCAATTTGATGACATATATTTCCCCAACAAATAAATGCAACACAATTTCCTTTTATTTTGGATCATGAAAATGCAATATGATTTATCAAGAAAAAAACTGCATGATCAAAGTAATTTTGATATCAATAAACTAGAAGCAAAATATATGCAAAGAGAACTAAAAGGAACATGACTAAAATGAGGAATTTGTCCCATCAAATAATTTGCTATAATACACGTTTATTTACTTTGATTTGCTTTTGAAGAACGTTAAAATTAAAACAAAAAAAAAGCTCTTCTCTAATATGATGTTAACGTAACTATTATTTTAAATTTTAACTAATAATTTTTGAAACATTATTTTTAATGATGCATGATCTTTGTCCATAATGAGCAATAGGATATATAAAGAGTACATATTAAAGGTGAATAGCATTTTATTACCAAGTTTAAAACATAAAATTGAAAGAAATAGAGAAAATATTATTAATGATTTTAGATGTATATAAGAAGATATTTCACAGTTCATATTGTGTCTTTTGTCATTCTCTTAAATAATACAATGCTTTTTAAGTTTTAAATTTTTTTTTTTTTTGGAACTCAACTTCTAAGATAATACGGTTTTTGTATTATTATTCGCCAATCTTTTTTTTTCCAAAAATACAGTAATATAGAAATTTCGTAATACCCACTACATGCGTGGGGCATAAATCTAGTTATATAAATAATAGAGCTTGACGTTTGAGATCATAAATTGAAACTTTGAAACACTACAAATAATACGAAAATTAAATTACGTTCCGCTACGAGATCATGTTCTTCTATGAGATTGAAGAGAGATACTTTAGAAGCTTGAAGAGGGATACCTTAGAAACTTGAGGAGCCATTCTTAGTGATCATGGAAGATGATTTGGTGACGGTTCCTACTTGTTAAGGTTTATTTTCTCTCAAAGTTATAAAAATATCAAAACATATTGATAATTTTGGAATCGCGTTTCCGTGAAAATTCCATCCGGAGCATGAAACGTCAGCAAATAGAGTCTCTATACAACATATAACTAGTTAGACCATCTCTACATAAAAAACAAATTGAACCAATTATTGAATGACAAATGTCTCATGAATTTTTTATGGAGTTTCTCAAAAGTTCTCAATTTTTTTTGTCAAACAAAAATTCTCTTTTTCTCCTTTTTTTCTCATTTTCTATTATTTTTCTTATTTTAATAAAAATAACATTTTTTCATGATTATAGGTAGTAAATATGATTAGGATAATATATAAATTTTATAATATTAATTGTATTAAGATTGTTATAT